GTGTTTTAGGGGTCCGTAAGTTACAATTCATGGAAAATTTTACCACAATTTAAATTCTTTTACATACCACCCCTGAATGGGTTTTAAAAGATTTTTTTTTTTAATTTAGCTCAACAAAAACATAGTTATTGTAGTTTTTATTTCAAATGGTATCAATTTTCCGAAAGGTGACAATTTTCCAAAAAAAAAAAAAAAAAAAAAAAAAAAAAAAAGACGATTGTTTATCAGATTGCTAGGTTGATGGATGGGCTTAAAATACGTCAGGACTCCCTCGGAAAATACAAGGACTCCCTCGGAAAGAGTAAATGACTGTAAATATTCTATTTAATAAAAACTGTTTCAGAAGTATCGACATTGTTTTTTTTTTTCCTCTAGCATCTTTATTTGGTGTGACTACAGTGCTTTCTTTGTACAAGGGATTACAATTTTTTACGGAATGGATTAAAAATATCCCTATAAAAACTAAATCTCTAATTGAGAGATTCACAGGAACTAATTCGCTTATTGAGAAGATACAAATTATCATGGATGGAACTTTATAACTGCATTTAGCATTGAAATGCAATCAATTATAACTGTTATTTTTTACTCTTTATTTATATTTTTATAGCGCTTTGAACATTAATTATATTAATTTTTTTAAATTCGTTTAACTTTTTTTATTTTATTTATTTATTTGTTCATTTTTTCAGTAACAGTACATTTTAGTTTTAATAATATATATATTATTTCATTAATATTTAAGGCTTCTAAAAACGCAATTTTTTTATTTACTTCAGCTTCTATGGAATTAGTGATGTTCATAATATGCATTAAGTCCTTACTTATCTAAAAATTGCTAGCATACTTTACTTTCACAGTTCATAAGCAGAAATAAAAATTTCCAATAACGTGGAATTTAGTGAACAAAACTTTTCTGCGTTCTACGTCAGGATCCATATAAAATCCAAAACAAACAATACTCGCTTAAGCGGGAAACATTCAGATGCTCAGCGTCGTAACTCGCGAACTGCTTGTTTTGCGCCAAAATATTAAAGTGATACCTAGCGGCGAAAAATGAAAATAATCTACGGATACGTGGCAGTGGAAACGCTTGTACGGATGCCGTAGGCGTGTCTTCAATTGACGCAACGCGTTCGTACGCTGGAGTGGAAACGGGCCTTTAGCCTTAGCGCAAATAATAGCTTCCGACACTGAATCGTCATTTAACTGCTTCTCGGTAATCCACATCGACAACAGTTTCTCAACATCTTCTAGGAGTTTTTGGAAGGTGCTTGGAAGTAACAATATCTTCTTTGGATACATCACGTTTCTTAATTTTTTCCTTCTTCAGAATAGTACAGATCGTTGATGTCGAACGGCCGTAAGTCTTTGCCAATTCCGTCACTTTTACATCGCGCTTTTCTTTATATGTGATTTCTTTCTTAATTTCAACAGGCACGGCTTTTTACTTGCAGCGCGATCTGAGGCAACAATCTTCTTAGGAGGCATCGTGAAATAATTATTTTCCCGTTAAATGTAAAAAACAATTAACTCACAAATGCACAAACGCAAGAACACTGAGTGATCTGACAAAGGGATTCCCCGAGTCAAGCCGGATATAGAAATGGCACCACGCATACCAACAGCCTCGCTCAAGTTTATTCACAAAGCCTACAGACCGTTTTTCTGCTGTTTGCTCCGATTGGTTAAAGCAGGAAACGTAGGGTTACAGAACCTAGTGCTTGGCGACTTTTCGTTCATCGCCTTTAGAATTTGTATTTAAGCGTGGTGTACCAAAAATTGTGCATAATAACTCACAGGAGAAACCGCAGCTCAGCGGTAACGAGCGCGAAAAAAGGTTCTTAGACTTCTTCGTCGCCGGTTCTATCCTCACTCCTAGCAGACATAAACTCTGCTTTACACGGATTTATTTTTTTATTTTAACTTTATAGAATGACTTTCGTCATTATTTGTTTGGGTGCGGTGTTAAAAATTAAACGCCTTTATTTTCTCTATTTTTGTTATTTTTTCTATTTCTCTATTTTTGTTAATTTTTATTTACTGGTTTGTACTCTTTGTAGTAGGTACCAGTAGCAAGATTACGATCCAAGATCCCCAAAAGCGTTTCGATAGAAATAGCGCATAATGGAATAAAATATAATTTTAGTTATACTTACTTTTCATAATTTAAGTAAAAAAGAATAGGTATCCGACGCCCTTAAATGTTTACTGAATGTTTTCATTGGTTTATTTTTTAATATTCCTTTATTTGTATTAATTAATGCGCTATAAAAATTTACACAACAGGCTCTTTCTAACAGAAATGACGAAAATGTGCATATGCTGTCTCCATATAAACACCTTTTTCTTGTAAAACAATTACGTAAACTTTTAAAAGTTTAAATTCAAGTACAAATTAACTATTATAAGGTCAGTAAAGTTATATAAAATATATTCCACACAATTCCTCCAAGTTTTCATTCATAAACTAAAAAAATATCGAATGAAATAAATGCTGTTTCTTGTTAATTACCACGCCTACAGGGCGATAACTCGCCATTCCAAATATGACCGTCAAGCAAATGTTTCATCCAATGAGAGCGGAACTTAGACAAATGGTCTGCTCAACTGCTCGTTACTTGCTTATTCACAAAGCCTACAGACCGTTTCTTCTGCTGTTTGCTCCGATTGATTAAAAGAGGTAGGGTTATAGAATCTAGTGCTTGGCGACTTTTGGTTCATCGCCTATACAATTTGTATTTGAGCGTCGTGTACCAAAAAGTGAGCATAAACCACCGGAGAAACCGCAGCACAGTGGTGACGAGCGCGGGAATAATTCTCAGGCCTCTAGGTCGCCGGTTCTATCCGCGCTCGTAGCTTTCAGAAACTCTGCTCTATAAGGATTTATTTTTATTTTAACTTTATTGAATGACTTTGTCATTATTTGTCTTTTCGCCTTCGGGTACGGTGTTAAAAATTAAACGCCTTTATTTTCTCTATTTTGTTAATGTTAATTTTTTCTTATTTTTATTTACTGGTTTGTACTCTTGTAGTAGGTACATTAAGCAAGATTACGAGATTACCAAGATCCCGAAAAGCGTTTCAATAGAAATAGCGCATAATGGAATAAAATATAATTTTAGTTATATTTTACTCGTAAAAAGAATAGGTATCCGACTCCCTTAATGTTTACTGAATGTTTCATTTGGTTATTTTTTTTAATATTCCTTTATTTGTATAAATTAATGCGCTATGAAAATTTACACAATAGACTCTTTCTAAGTGAAAAAACGAAAAAGTGCATATGCTGTCTCCATATAAACACCTTTTCTTGTAAAACAATTTACGTGGTTTAAATTTTAAATTCAAATACAAATAAACTATTAATATGATCAGTAGGTTATTTAAGATATATTCCACACAATTCCTCTAAGCTTTCATTCATAAACTAAAAAAAATGTTGAATGAAATAAACGCTGTTTCCGTTCGTTTAGCGTTAATTACCACGCCTACAAGGCGATAACTCGCCATTCCAAATATGACCGCCAAGCAGATGTTTCCTCCAATGAGAGCAGCCCTTAGCGAAATTGTCTGTAGGCTTTGTGAATATGCTCGTTACTTGAGTCAACGATCGTATTTAGAGACGGAGTTTTCGCTCTCGAATTTCTCGCATATAGAGGTGCTCATATCTCGAGGTTGCACTGTATGAAATATTACGAAACAGGTGCTAATCTTGACAAGAAATGACATTATTTGAAACTATGTCTGTTAACTGAATACCCGTTGCGGATTCTGTATGTTAAAATCTACGTGTTATAGTCGAATATTTTTTAAAGAATAAACGTGTTTGCCTATCTCCTGGGGGCATTTCATTGGTCTTCTTGTAAAATCAGTAAAATATCTTTGACCGCAGACTTATAAATTAAACGAAAATTAAATCCAACACTAATCATAAATATAACAATATGCGAATAATTATTAATAAAAGAAAAGAAGTAAATAGCTCAAATTAAGCTAGAAAAATGGGCAAAAAAATACACACCTCACACCCGCTAATTAACACGTGAACTAAATCGGCGCCAATTCTTGAGCTTGCGGAAAAATTTACGGGAAAAAATAACGCCAAATGCTCCGCCAAGCATTGTTGCCAAAGGAGATATCAAAGGTACATATCTGGTTAAGACGTAGAACACAGTTCCGATTTGTAGAATTCCTATAAAGCTCCCTCAGACTTTTGTTATTCTTTTTGGGTTCAAATTCTTGTAACCAGTAGCTGATGTCTTTTTTTTTTTTTTTTTTCCTTCTGAGTAATATGAATACAAACCAATTTTTCTAAAACGTTCTCGACGACGGCAGCTCCTCTCTTACTCAGTTGGCCTTACACGCTGGCCATATTCGACTGAAGATATCCGAAATAACAGCATTTGAGACATCAGAAAGTTAATTAGCTGAGAGGTTAAGACCATCTTTCTTCGTGTGTTAATAAGTGGGTCTAATATAGGAAATTCCATAATTTTTTTGAGTAAATTACTTACTGGGTATTTAATATTTATTTCTGTGGGGAAAGTGCAGAATCACCTACTGCTTGCTTCGTTTTTAAGAATTGCACATACTCGGTATCCATGTGCGCATCGACCTATTTTCACTTAAAAAAGCATCCTAAAATTGCACAAAAATGGCATTGCGCACTCTCTTAACTTTATCCATGTACACATCGACCTATTTTTACTTAAAATGTCAAAGAAAAATGACAAAATTCTAATTCTTCTTACTTTTGTGAAAAGCTCCAAACAAATAAGTGGACGATTCTGCACTTTACCTTCTTTATTGCTGTATCTCTCCGATGGAGTCCTTACATTAAATTAAAATAAACATTTTGTTAAGAGTCTTGTAGATATTTAGGTTTATAAGCTGAAGATATTACTAACAGTGTCCAGTTAAGTACATTTCTAGTATTGATTTTTCGAAATTATTAGTTTAGGATTTTAGCGCCATCTATTGTCTGTTTATGATAGATGCTGTGAGAAAGATAATATTTTAGATTGTGTTGATATGTGCCTTAGAAAGCACATGAACATAGTATAGATTGTTAAAAGTTTTCTAAAATTTCTGTTGTTTGTATAATAATTAAACGCATTTTATTTTTATATGTAGCGAAATCGTCTTGAAAAATCTAGTCTGGTATACGATAGTTATATTTTATTACAAAGTGAGCACAAGGTCATCTGTATTTGAGAAACAAAACTTGTTTATCCGATTGTAAATGTTGACTATTAAGTTTAAATTAGTATTTTTTAAATTTTAAGTTATTTATAAAAAATTTTTTGACAAATATTACACCAGGTTTTTATAAGTTTAAATAGTTATGCATTTTGTTTGAAATATTTGTAATTTACGTCCCTTTAATTAAACGTAAAATTTCAAAAGTAACGAAATCAGTACTTCGAAACGAACGAAATATTTGTATAATTTATAAGAAGCTGAAAAACATTGTTGATTAGCCTATATTATTACAAAAATAATTAAAGTAAAATTCTTGTTTTATTATGCATGAAAACAGTACTATAGTCTTAAAACTATATGAGGAAGGAAATAAAGTTCTCAAAATTTTAATGTTGAATAATATCATGTTCAAAAGTCTTTCAATGTAGAACATTATAACATTTAATTGCAGGTATGGATGGTGATGCAAGGAATGCATTTGAGAGGTTTATGCACAAGGTATTTAATCTGATTGATGGTCCATGTACATGGTTCAGAGGTAATTAGTTATTTATTCTGTTCAAAATTTATTATTTTGTTGAAATAAAAATAGTTACGTTTTCCTTGGCAGAAGTGAAATTAATACATACTTATCTAAAGCATAAAAATAAAAATCTGTTAAAAGTAAGAAAGAGTGTTGAATAGTAATTAAAATCATGGTTTCTTTTTACTTGGCTCACAAAAATTTTCTTCTTCAAACACATAATGAAATGTATTTGCTTTCTTTGCTTAATTTCTACTTTGAAAACTGTTTTGAATGATTCAGTATAAATTTAGGAATTGCTTCAGTTAATTTCAGTATTCAAATATTGGGGAAAATGCAGAATCACCCACTGCTTGGCACATTTTTAAGAATTGCACATACTCGGTATCCATATACACATCGACTTATTCTCACTTGAAAAAACATCCCAGAATTGCCAAAAGTGACATTGTGTACACCCTCGACTATCCATGTACACATCGACCTATTTTCACTTAAAAAGACAAAGAAAATTTACAAAAATCCAATTCGTCTTACTCTTGTAAAAAGACAGTAAAATGAATGTGGTAAGATTAATTTGAAGTTTCTTTGCGATTTGGAATGTAAGAGGGAAAGAGCATTAATTGACTGGTGTGTAAATGAAGGTTTACTTTGTAGCCATTATAAGTGTCTTGTTTGTAGGAAGGAAATGCATGTGGTCGAATGTCGGAGGATACTGGCATTAACTCTGCAATGGAGGAGCCGGTGTACAGAGTACGCCAATGCCATCTTTTGGGCTGTAATTTTTAGACAACCCCTTCCTGAGCTTCCTCCCTTCCTCTACCCTCGCAGAAACATTCCATGAGTGCAACGCATCTGGTATTTCTGGTCAGTCTGATTTTCGTCTTCCTTCCAAAAGCAGTTATTGTGAACATGTCGCATAGGCGAACTCAGTACGCTGCTCCTACAAGTATGTACAGAAAGAATATTGTCCCTCCTGAAGATTATTTGCACATTTTAGGACGCGTTTTAGGAGAAGTGTCGGTTGATGAAGACTCCGACAATTTGGATAATGCATCTAATGTCAATGAAGTCATTGAACATTCTGATCATAAAAGTGACTCGGAAATTGAGGGCAATGTTTCTAAACATCCTCATTTTCCTTCCTGAAATGATGTTTCCCCAACAAATGGCGATTTTAATAAGGTTGAAAATGACATACGTGATTTAAAATATGAGGACTTTCTTGTAAAAATAATTTACAAAAAGAAGAAAGTTGGAGGACAGTTTCTGAAAGAAGAACTTATAAGTAGAATAAAAATCCTGTCAAGATCAAATTTGCTAGAACGGCTCGAAAAAAATTTTATGAAAAAAATATTTCCAAGTGCCAAAACTTGTGACGATATAAATGATGAGCTTTCTGCTTTCCAGAAAATCATAAATACAAATATGATTAATGCTATCCTACAATATATAAGTATTTATCTCAAATGTAATAGGACTGCAGATGATCTCCAAAACATCTGAAAAAGAAGCATGTATGATACTAATAGAGCAGAAATATTGGCCTTTTTACGAATTTTTTCCTTATTAGGGTGCAAAAAAATGTCAAAACTCAACTTGGAGGAAGCATGGGCAAAAGATTGTACTGGAATTGAAATTTTGCAAGGGGTCATGGATCTTGAGCGATTCAGAAACTGTGTGCTGCTATTAGATTTGACGATAAAGGCACAAGGTATGTGCGAAGAAAAACTGATAAGCTTGCTGCATTAAGAGAATTTTTTTTAATCTTTCAGCCAGAACTGTCAAAACTTTTATACACCAGGTTACAAACTCACAATCAACGAGAAGCTGGAACCCTTTCGCGGGAGATGCTCTTTCAGTTCATCCCCAACAAGCCCGCAAAGTATGTTCTGAAAATTTTTGCCGTTGTTGATGCACGAACGTTTTATACATTGAAGCTTGAAATTTATTGTGGCAATCAACTCCCAGGACCTTACGAGGCTTCTAATTCAAATATTGACATTTTCAAAACTTGAATTGGGTGTACGAAGGTTTCAACTGTAACCTGACAACCGATAATTGGTATACAGGCTATCTGCTAGCTCAATATCTTTTTACCAAAGGTGTAACACTTGTGGGTACGCTGAAAAAAAAAAAAAAAAAAAGGAAATTTCAAATTAATTCCAGCCATCAAAAACAAGAGAAGTCAGCAGTTCACTGTTTGGTTTTCAAAAGGATATGACAACTGTTTCATATGCAACAAAAAAAAAAATAAGTGTGTAATATTGCTCAGTACTGTACACAATGATGACAAAATTTTCACTTAAAAAGGAAACGAATAAACCCCACATAATCCTGGATTATAACAAATATAAAGGCGGAGTTAACACCGTAGACCACCTTTGTAATAATTTCACTGTCGCCCGAAAAACCAAGAGGTGGACAATGGCAATATTTTTTGCACTGCTAAATGTAGCGGGCATAAATTCACACGTGCTCTTGAACTTAGCCAAACCTGATACAACCATCAAGTTTAGAAGATATTTTTTAAAAAATCTAGTTACATCTTTGATGAAACCACATCTTCAGAATCGTCTAAAAATGCCATTTCTCCTGTCACATTCCAAAGCTATTATTAGAAGGCTGGTAACAACAGAAGTGGACAAGACGGCCGAAAAGGACAAGAACCACCTGCAAAAAAGATCAAAGGACATTGTGCTGAGTGTGGTAGAATGAAGAATAATTACACTATCATAAAATGCTCTGAGTGTTCTAAGTTTACCTGCAAAAATCATGGGCAAGACAGTACATGTTTGCAAAGCCTATTGCAGTGAACAGGGACAATCGGAAGAGGATTAAATAAGATATTTATGATATTATAATTTTCATACAGACAATGACATAGAATACTATATAACTTTAAATTACCTTTCCAGTGCATTCCATTTTTTGAATTAATTAAAAATTCAGCTAATCTTTAGAATATGGTAACAGATAGTTTGGCGACATTTTGGTAAGGCGATAAAGGTTACTAGCTAGGACTTTAGCAATAATCTGAGAAGTACACAGTTCGAATTACAGATTATTTTGTCTCAGAGAAATGAGAGATCATGAGATGTCATGTGACATTTTCCAGAAAATTCCGATCGTGATTTTAGCTAATAAGCACTTAGAAACAGTTTCGCTGCTAAAGTGCAGATGACGTCCAAAACAAAACTAGTAGGTTGCTGTAGCAGGGTTGGTCGCCAAAAAATCGCCAAATTTCCATAATATAGAGATTCACCAAAAATTCGTAATTTCCATCGTCACTGCTTTTGTTTTCTGTTATTCTTTTTACTATGACGAATCACCTTATTAATGTAATGTATAAGATTAAATAGTTTGAAACACAAAGCAGAGGCTTGAAAAACGACCTTGCATACTTCATACGCTGCCCCCCTCAAATTGTACCATACACCAGCTCCTCCAGCTGAGGGTTAAGGAGGATATTTTTTACTCTTATGTTTGTGAATTTATGTGGCGATGCCAGTATACAGAATCTAGTTCGGATGTATTTAGGAGTTTTTTAAGGAATTTTGTTTGACTGAAGACTGGGAAATTTCTAAATAAGATAAGTATATATTTCCTTTGTGTAATGCTCAGATGAATTTCCTTTTTTATGTTATTTTATTGTTTGATTTAAAATGTAGTTTATTGAGATTATATATTTTTTGTTGGTTACTTACTCCCTTGACTTTTTAAGTGAAAATAGATGTACATGGACAAAGTCAGGCACACTTAATGTTACTACCTAGATATCTCGCCAAAACTGGTGAAAGGGTTAGGTTATACAGGTTAACCCTAAGATAAGTTATAGGGGCCACTAAAATAAAAAGTATTATCCTGCACTAGTTCCACACTTGCTGTTACCACATCTTTTTTTGCTATATTTACGCGGATTATTACATTCAGGTTAAACAACAGTGTGTCTTTAGTGGAATTTGCCGGGAGACAAATGAAACACTTCTAATCAGAGTTCCAGACCAGAAGGCAACAACATTAATGCATAAAATGTAAAATAATATTACTGAAGGCTCAACAATAATGTCAGATTCATGGCCTGGATATCAAACAGAGGAGCTCATTGCTGCCGGTTTTGAACATTTTAAGGATACAGTTTGTTGACCCATCTACGCAGACTCGGACTCAACACGTTGAAAGGATGTTGGGTTCCGCAAAATGGAGGAACAACATAGGACAAGCCACCATCATAGTGAAAATAGGTCGATGTGTACATGGATACCGAGTTTGTGCAATTCTGTGACTTGTTATTTTGGCTTTGCATCGCAGCGATTTTGCAAAAATTGCCTACACGAAGCCAAAATAACAAGTCAAAGAATTGCACAAACTCGAGATCCATGTACCGCCTAAAATCACCAATTTTTGCCCAGGGGCATTCATAAATATATTTTTACCAATATTCCACCCATTTTGCTTGCTTGGTGAGATTTTCATTCTCCTAGCAACATGTTTGAACATTTCATGATTTTTTTTTTTTTTTTCATTTTAGCTAACATTGGTTTTGAATAGTGGATAAAGTTTTAAAGAAAAAGTGCGCTCTGAACATAAACACAGATTGACTTATATTTGGAAATATATAGTAGTTAAAGGTTAAAAGTGGAAAGAAAATAAGGTACTTATGTGCTATGATGACTACCTAGATATCTCTCCAAAATTGGCAACCCTTATAGATTATACAGGTTAACCCTAACATAGGTTATAGAGGGTGGTAAAATAAAGAGTATTATCCCACACTAGTCCACACTTGCTATTACCACACTTTCTTTTTGCTACATTTATGTGGATTATTACGTTTAGGTTAAATACGTGAAACTTTTTTTGATTATTTTTTTTCCCAATGGACTTCCTTCAAATGAAGAAGCGATAGAATCTTTCAAAGAGGCTGGAATTTTATCCAAAGAACGCGTTTGTAAAAAGGGCCATGGTATGAAGTTTTATAATTCAGGATTTTTTGGAGATGCAATGTCAAAAATTGTCAACATAAGTTTGGTGTCCGAACTGGTATGTGGTTTGAAAGGAGTTGGCATTGGGAGATGCATGTCGGATTTCTATCGGCAAATGTTGCCAAGGTAGTCGTCATAGTACATAAGTACTGAAAATAGTTTATGTATCAGCATGTTTGCTTTGTGAGATGTATTACTCATAATTAGTGCATAATTAGGGAACTATTAAAAAAAGGTGCTAGATAATTTTATAAAATTTTCGCAGAATAGTCATAATATTAGCTTTTTTTTTTTTTTTTTAGTTCAAAGGGGCTTTGACCCTAAAGGACTATTGTTTTCGTTTTTCGATTTTGCATTGGTTTCAGGGCTTAAATTGTGCCGGAGCCTACTGGAGCCAGCCTCCGGTACTTTTCAGTTTCTAAGATATATTACATTTCTAGCCGGAGCGCACAGGTGCCCTAAATAAGATGAGCTCCGATACTTCTTTTTATGAAACTGAACCACAATTTAAAAAAAAATAGAATTCGTAATGTTTTACTTTAACAATAAGGAAGACCTTTCAATACTCTGTTTCCCTAAGATACAAACTCATGAGGCATTGAAGGAAAATCCCTTCACTCACATGTGGAAATCTTTCCGTTTACGAAGAGCAATAAATTTATGAGAGCTTGCTTAGGAACGCGTAAATGTCTCATCATGCCATCGTATCTAGTGTTTTTTTATCCATGGTTAAAGTTTATTATCCTCGCAGAAAGGGGAATTTATATGCGTTAAGTGACAGCGAACATAATAGAGTGAAATAAAGAGATGACCTGCTCAAGCACTCCCTATACTATCATTTTCTCACAGTATCCACAAATGTAACCAAATATGGGGGGTCGAAAAGTGTTACCAGCAACTTCATGTTTGTTCTTAGGAGTCAGATTCAGAACTATTTTTGCCGCTGACACACATTCCACTTGATGGCTATAATTATATCAGTAGCGGGACGTGGTCAAAGAGTACGCTCTCTCTCTCCATGCTCCCCCAGCAGTTCTTCCTTATTTCTTAACTGCTCATTTCCGTTCAAAAAGTGTCTCACACCCTCTTTTTACCATTATCTGTATTCTCATCAGCGATAGTTTAAACATATTGTTGCCTGTGTACGGGTTAGTAATAAATTGAATACAGAAGTCCGATGAAAAGTGAATAACATTTATACTTATCACAACAATAACAACAAAAAAAAATGCTGAAATTTTCTCGGAGATATTCGTACAATATCGCAATATCTCACAGTAGTTAACTTTTAAACTGCTAAAACTTTGGGCTAATCTTTGGAATATGATAACAGGTTACGTGGCGACATTTTGGTAAGGCAATAAAGGTTACTAGCTAGGACTTTAGCAGTGTACATGGATAAAGTCAAGAGTGTGCGCAATGCCATTTTTGTGCAATTCGGGGATGTTTTTTTAAGTGAAAATAGGTCAACGTGTACATGCATACCGTGTATGTGCAATTCTACAAACTTTCTGCGCATGCGTCGAGTTGACGCATGTGCGTAAGACTTTTACGGCTGCGAATATGCCTGTGCGCATGCCCAAAATATGTTTACGCAAGCGTGTTTAATGTATAACGGATGGTATAAGCTAAGCTAAAATTATCTAATTCAGTTAATGTTGCAGATTGTGTTGTTCCTTAATCTTCGAATTGGATCCGGCTTATTATTTTTTGCAGACTGTTAGAGCAATTTTATAAAAGTAAGCTTGAACTTTCGATTACGTCAAATAGAATTTCCGATATATATTTACTAATATGTAAAGGATCTACAAAACGAAAGTATGTTTCGAAGTCCATTAAACAAAAAGTGAATTGCTGCAAAAAATGGATAAAGGCATATCCTTTGTTTATTTAACCATTCCGAAATCTGTTTATCAATTTCACGCTGCTCTGCGGCGAGGTGAGCTGTGGGGAACGCCGCGGTGCGGCCGCAATGAATTGGAAGTTTGTCTGTCAGCACTATCCTTATCTTCAGGGCAGATGTTTTTATTTTATTTGGCTTATAATTCCTTACTAAATGTAGTATTTCATCTCGATGTACTCCATCTTTGATATGATTTAAATCAAGTTCCTCGTCATTATAATTTGCTTCCGATAACGAAGAAAGTGACACAGAGGTTATTGAAAATGAAAAAATTTCGATTGACAAATTAGTCGGTATTCTCGACACAGCAATTATAGGACTTGAACAGCGGAACTTTGTAACTGAAGAAGAAATTATGTCCGTTTATAGAAGTAATGAGAAAGTATTATCACATAAAAAACGAAGCAACTTAAACAACTTACATTGAAAGAAATGTTTAATAAAGTAAACAAATAAATATTAAGCTTTTTTTTTGTAAATTTTGATACCCTTTGGATTATAATTGTTCTTTATTTCATAAATTACGGTTTCATATTTTTAATTTTATAATTTCTGCATGCCATCTTACCAGATTTAAACTGATGATCTATAATCCAGAAAAATTGATAATCCGGAATCGGCGAAGTCGTGACGAGTCCGGATTAACGACTTTTGACTGTATTGCAATAATGAGAAGTGCGAAATTTATTATTTATAGTATTTAATCATTTTTTATCCTTTGTATCTTACCGCATTTTTAATTTTCTCATATCACATTTGTTTCACGACTGATTTAATTTTTATAATGTATTTGTTACTTATTTAATTGGTTATTTATCTACTTATAATTAATTTAATAGCAATTTAATAATGTGCGTTATATTTTATTTAACTTTAATTTCTCATCATTTAGTGTTTTATTTATTATTTTTCATTCAGTTTTTATATGTTATTCCTAACGGGTTAACTCCGGCACTTCTGATTTTAGAAATTAAGCCCTGGTTGGTTGACTATAAATGTCCGTTTCACTTTTCAAACTGTTGCCGCCGAATTCATTGTATTTATTGCATACAATGTCCTGCACTGTATTTGAAGAAATTAAATAATGAAAATCCTGCATAAATGTATGTATATTCTCACATTGTGATAAAACAACAGTACATAGAGCCATCAAATTTTGAATGATGTAATCCTACTGCGAATATGGGCATTTAGAAGCCCAAATTTGGAATTTGTTTTATGTTATCGATTTCATATTTTATAAATCTTTAACGAACTCAAGGATTTCAAAGCGAGCAATGGCAACGTTGTACAGAAAAAGCATTTTTGTCTCCCTCGCGTGAGTCACTGTATCGGAAATTCTAAAGATATGCTCAATTTAAAGCTATTTTGTGATATTGCTCTTTAACTGAATTTTATTGTTTAATTACGAAGAACGTGATATTTAATAAATAAATGTAGCACACAAAATGTTAGAAAAATGCCCCTTTGGATGTAATTTAAAATCTGAAACCTTTAAGAATTTTTTTTTTTTTTTACCCTTTTCTTTCTTTTGCAGAAACTATTGTTTTGCCGAATCAGAAGCAATATCCGTATTACCATAGGAAGTATCAAAGAGTACCTACAATTGATGAATGCTATGAGGGAGATGTCCTTTGCATGTATGAAGCTCAAATACAATTCAAACGTGACAAGTATGCAGTTCATAGTTGTGTTTTTATTTTAGTTTAGTTGAAGAGATTTTTCTATTTCTAATAACTATTGATCACTTTTGAGCATATTTTGCTTTGTATATGCAGTCAAATAGTGAATCTGGTTTAAAGAGAACCCCCATATACAATGAAAAAAATTTTTGATTCTGTCTTAATGTTATTTTATATGCAGCATTAATGAATCTCGAAATACAGTACAAAGTCCGTAATCCAGACGTCCATTATCCGGAATGATCTATAATCCGGACCTCAAAGCCACAAACTTACGCATGCGTGTAATGCGTTTACGCATGCACGTTTGATGCGCGTAAAGCCAGTAAAGCGTTTACCCATGCGCGCTTCTGATAGTGAAGAAAGTAACGGAGAACGAACGTTATTGAAAACGAAAAAATTTCGATTGACAAGTTAGTCGGTATTCTCGACACAGCAATTACAGGACTTGAACAGTAGAACTTTGTAACTGAACAAGAAATTGTGTCTGTTTACAGAATTAAAGAGAAAGTATTAGCACAAAAAACGAAGCAACTTAAAAAACTTGCATTGAGAGAAATGTTTACTAAAGTAAACAAATAAATATTAATTTTCTTTTGTAAATTTTTATACCCTTTAGATCATAATTGCTCTTTATTTCATAAATTACAGTTTCATATTTTTAATTGTATAATTCTGCATGCCATCTTACCAAATTTAAATTGATGATCTATAATCCGGAATCGCCGAAGTTCGTAATCCGGACTTCGGCGATTCCGGATTACGGACTTTGTACTATATATGGAAGTCAGATATTGTAAGCTTCGGGGATAATTAAAAAAAAGTATTTCTGCAAGTTTTAACTGAAAAATAATTAGTTATCCATGTTTAAGCTATTGGAGTAGCAATCAATTACAATGTTATCTTTACTCATATGTTTCTGTACATCCTTAACAAAGACTATTCAAAGCAGGTATAACAACACTACCTTTAGAAAATGAGGAGACATAACAGGCATGTCTTAGCGCTTTTGTTGCTGGTGATGCGAATTGTGTGGTTAGTTATTTCCCTGACATAGATTGCGGCTTATTATAAAAAATATGATTTAGAAGAGGTAATAAAAGATGATTTTGTGTATCATGCTGATTTTTAGGTAAAATTATTTCTGCAGTGGACTAAGCAAAAATTAATTAAAACAAACAAAAAAAAAAAAAAAAAAGTAACACTGTGTATTATTTTTGTATGAAACTATATCACAAGCAAATAAATATAGTACAAATGAATTTATTACAAAGTAACTACAATGAAATTATTACAAACTATATATTTCAGAATGTTAATTGTGTATAATCTTTGCTAAAAATGAAACTTTAATTTGAAAAAGCATTCATTTACTTCCAGTTTCTAATCTTCACTCCACATAAATATCAGCATGCATACTCAAAATATAACGGAGATTAAACTAAAGAATAAACAATAAGGTGTTTCTTTTTTGGAACCAGCGTCGCATGCCGGCACACGATTGCCTCTTTAGCAATGTGGCCTCCAAGCAGTTTTGTGTGGCCCATGAACACACTTTTCTTTAATCCAGACGTCCATAATCCGGAATAATCTATAATCCGGGCCTCAAAGCTACAAACTTTCTGCACGTAATACATTTATGCAAGCTCGTTTAATGTATAACGGACAGTATAAGCTAAGCTAAAATTGTCTAATTATTTATTTCAGTTAATGTTGCAGATTGCGTTGCTCCTTAATCTTCTAATTGGATCCGGCTTATTATTTTTTGCAGACTGTTGGAGCAATTTTATAAAAGTAAGCTTGAACTTTCGAAATGTCAAAAGATGTCTTTCGATGTCAAAAAGAATTTCCGATTCTGGAGCTGCCAAAGGATCTACAAAGCGAAAGCATGTTTCGATATCCATCAAACAAAAAGTGGAATTGCTGCAAAAAATGGATAAAGGCATATCCTTTTTTTCTCTAACCATTCCGAAATCTGTTTATCAATTTCACGTTGCTCTGCGGGGGGGGGGGGGGACGTCGCGGCGTGCAATGAACTGAAAGTTGATCTGTCAGCACTATCCTTATCTTCAGGGCAGATGTTTTATTTTATTCCACTTATATTTCCTTACTAAATGTAGTATTTCATCTTGATGTACTCCATCTTTGATATGATTTAAATGAAATTCCTCGTCATTATAAATATCACGAATACACATCAAATAGTTTTGTGGTTGCAATTTTCTAATTTCGACCATGTGTAATGTATGCTTTATGCATGCGCGCGTTTAAAGAAATGTTTAATAAAGTAAACAAATAAATATTAAGCTTTTTTTTTTTTTGTAAATTTTGATAACCTTTAGATAATGATTGCTCTTTATTTCATAAATTCCGGTTTCATATTTTTAATTTTGTAATTTCTGCATGCCTTCTTACAAGATTTAAACTGATGATCTAGCCCACTAGCGGCCGAGCAATAAAGTCGCTGAACGCTGATAGTTTGGTCTGAGGTTCGAATCCCGCAAACGGGCTGGCTGCATGGGCGTTTTCTTGGTTTTACCCATGTGTAATGTGTATACGAGCCAGTTTCCCTTAGAAAGTCCTCCACGAAGGCATCCATCCCCTTAGGCAGATAGCCCTAGTGTGCTTTGCTGTAATTAAATAAACCAAACCAAACCTAAACTGATGATCTATAATCCGGGAAAACTGATAATCTGGAAACGCCGAAGTCCCGACGAGTCCGGATTAAAGACTTTTGACTGTAGTTGATTTCAGATTATGCTGGTGTGAGATGTACCTGTTAGCTGGTTTCAGATTGTGTATTCAGCCCACATGCAATCTGAGTTTGAGGCCACAATCTCATTTCAGTTATGTTTTTGTTCTGAATATGCTGTTGCAAAGATTTTAGTTATTTGAAGTCCAGGTTTACATTATTTTTTAATTATTACCATTAAAAATGAATGTGAATAATGCACCAGAAGATCTATAAATGGAGCTAATTAATTTACTCTGTGATTTAAATCGTATTCAGAGATTCAAAGATGCAGATTCGATTTAAATTTTATTTTCACTTGCCAAAATATAAATCTACTGTGCTACGGATTTTTCCACTAAGATTAATTGCTTTGCTTGGGAATACATTTATATATAAGCAGCTTTTTTTCACAGTTGAAAATTTATAGGAACAGAATGTTATTGACTGATGAGTGTCAACAATCTTTGATGAAAATAATTCTAGTAGTTTCTCTCTAAAGCTACGAACTTTATCAGAATCAAAATGCCATCAAGCGTAATATTGTATTAAAAAAAGAAGTTTATAGTTATTTGCATATAAACATACATATTTTATTTATATGTTGAAAAAAATTAATGAATAAGGGTGGAAAAAGACTAAATTTTTATTATTTATTCTCAAATTCTTTCCTACTTGGAAACTTTTCTTTGAAAAAAGTTTTCATAGTTAGTTTATTTTCAGTTTAAAGTTATTTAACGATTAGTTAAACATGTTGGAATTATTAAATAGACCTTGCATATTATCCCATAGACCAAGAATATTGGTTGCCATCAAACCATCAAAGTTGGAAGAGATCTTGACCAAAGTTTGGCAAATCATTCCTGTGGAATTCTGATGCTTCTTTATTTAATAAACAAACAATATTTGACCCTCTCCAATCTATTACTGTTTTGTCAGCCATATTCAGTTAACCGTATAATGTCCGATACTGCACACTTCTTTTGATGGTATGATCAAATAACTTGAAGATAATCCACTGGTTGCTGTTCTGTAGAAAGTGAGACTCGAACCTTAATATACATATATATATATATATAATAAAATATGATAGCTGTTTTAAAAAAATAATTGACGACCTCAAAATTAACATTCTAAATTTGGTGATCTGCCTCTAAATTCATCTCTTCTCACAGGTTCCAGATTTTTCTATCGTACATAATGTTTTAATGCAGATGCCTCTTGTCAAATCAAATTAATTGTAAACCAAAACTCTGAACTGAAACTTTTCTGACTTCTGCCCTTCTCCTTCTGAAGTTGTATGATACTCGCCCCTTTTCACATAAGCTCTGCTGCCGGCAAAACACTTTTTATGTGCGCTGCTGCTTACTTGCTGAAGATAACATCGTACTTCAAAATGCAACTTCTGTATTCAAATATAATTAGGAAACATCTTATCTGAAAAAAGAATGGTTTGATATACGTAAAAAAAAATAAAGATTGTGATTTTTCAAGATGCGTTGTGCTAAATTGCGTCATCATGCTTTTCCACTCAGCCCTACCTTCAGCCACTACAGTCTTCTCGGCCATCTATGCAATATCGAAAGATGTTAAAAGTTCCACTGTTTTCATCTATGCATTTTAGAATCATTACATATTTATAAAAAGTCAAGACAGGATTAACCTGATGCTAGTTTCCCCAATGGTTTTCGAACTCTGCTGCCTCAAACTTCCAGTGAATCATCAAATTCGTTTCCGGTGTTTGATTTAATGGCATGTTCAAAAAGTGCTTTGAAAATCATCGAGTATTTGTAAGTTCAAAATCAAAAAGTATTTCGAATCAAAGTCAGTGCCGGCAACATAGTGAAATATTGTTACTGGTTCTCACTCGCTTCGAATATTCGTAATGCATTTCTGATCATTGCGTAAAAAGAAAAACCCAAAGTGCTTTTTTGAGTTGTAGGTATTTCTTTAATGTTTTCAAGATAAAAGTTGAAGGCTCTCACCTTATGAAATAATATATTTTTTTAAAAAATCTAAGTATTTTTTATTTTCATAAGATAGAGTGTGTTTTTAATTTTTATAATGAAATGACAGCATTTCGAAAAAGGCGAGTTGCCTCTATCAAAGAACGTAGGCCTTTTCTACAGCGACTGCTAATTTGGCAAAGCTTTTGGCCACTGTTGAAGAATAACTCCAGTTTGCTCAACTGATAAACCAATATGATGGAAATGCTGGTATTTAGAGAAAGTTGTGGAGTCTTCAAGGTTTGTAAAGAATA